ACCGCGACGCCGAGGAGGCGCTCGACATCTTCGAGACCCCCGACCTCATCGGCGGCGACCCCGGCGACGACGAAGACCTGGCGGCCAAGAGGCTGGGCATCGAGGACGCCGCGGGCCTGGGGGGCCCCGACGGCAAGTCTGGCCGCTGGAGGAGGCTGCAGCCCCGCATGTGGGCCCTCTTCGAGGACCCCTACTCGTCCAGAGCCGCCAGGGTAAGGCCAGAACCGCCCCCTTCCCTCTGCTCCAGCTCCTTCCCAACTCTCGGTTCTCTTCCACCAAGGGCCTCTGGGGTGCGGGAGGGGGTGGGAGGGAGAAGGGAACCTGGGCTCCCTAAGGATGAGATTAGCAGCCCGTCTGGTGCAAGGTAAACTCCGGGACCCTGGCCGCCATCCTCCCCGCCCCCTCCATCCTCCACCTGTCCTCAACTCAAACAGATTTACTCTAGCAGATGGGAACTGAAGGGCAAAGGTCGACCTCTCGGTGCAAGTCTGTCCGGAACCTTGTCCTGAAACTGGTGTCGCGCTTCACCTTGAGGGTTTTTTTTTGTTTTGTTTTGTTTTTTCCTGACTCTTTTGTTCCAACTTTTTCGTTAGTTTGGATGTTTCTTTAGGCCTTCTGGTCATCACGATTTGACATTTTCAGTAAGGAAGGCCTGACACTCCACATCTGACCCACTCAGAGCAGTGGCTCCAATTAGGGATCTAATCTGAAGACAGAGAAGGAAAAATGGAATATACCTGTGTGGCTGGGTGGGGAGAGGGTGGGCCAGCGGGGTCGCTTTGTGAAGAGACTCTCCTGAGTGCTATTTGGGCCTGTCTCCTTCCAAGGGGGAAGAAAGCTGAATTGTTTGTCCCAGTGAGTTGAGCAGGGACCCCACCTGCACGTTGAAATTGGGAGCTGGTCGTTTTCCCCTTGGGCTGTATCTGTGTTTCTTACAGGTTGACTCTGAATTGGTCACTTGGTGATGCTAGGTTAGTCCGATTGTCTAAATCTGGGTAATTTAGATTGTGGCAAACTTTATTTTACTCTTCAGATTGTGAGTCCCTCCTCAATTTTTTTCTTTTCAGTTTCTAGCTTGAATGACAGTTTAAATTTAGTCCTTGAGACTCCCAATTAATTTTTCAGAATCCCATGAAGGGACTATAAAAGTAACCAATACTGGTTTCTCCAGTTTAAAGGGAATAAAAGAAATATAAATAACCAAAAAATTATACAGTATGTGAATGTTTTTTAATTATACATGAGCACAGAGTACTGTATTTAGTTAAATCTTTGCAACTGCGTGTGTCTGGTTTGCTTCTGACACTGGGAAAAAATACCCCCAAGGCAGCTTCACTGTGGCTCCATCCTCATTATTGTCTTTTTCTGTATGTCAGAAGTCTCTGCATCTGAGATATTGTGCAGCTGTCTATCTGATAACTTGTGAGAAGATGTGCTTCTGATACCACTGTAGAAGTCTGAGGATATGTTTTGTTTTCAGTTTGAAATAGAATATGAATGAGACAATTTTAAGCATTGCTCCTCTGTTGGATCTGGCATTTAAATGCATACATAAATTTTAGTGTTTGAATATGGAATTAATAACTTCAACTCTGAACTCTTCCTGTTAAGACCATTCTATAAATTCAACAAGAGTTGGATTTCAAAACAAAAACAAAAACAAGTGCATATTTACTTAAATTAAATCAAAGACTCATGACCATTACATCTGTGGTTGGGTTTTTTTTTGTTGTTTTTTTTGTTTTTTTGTTTTTTATTCCAGCTGAGTGCCACAGTACTCTTTCCACTTGGTGGCTAAAAAGATAATCTGAATTTGTTTTCAGGCTCATTGTGTGATTTTTTTTTTCCAGATTGCATGCTATAAAAAAAGACAGAATGTTTTATTATCTTGCCTCATGATAATATAATAGATTTCATTGTGGCCTAGATTACATAGCAAAAACTTTAAGATGGTGTTTCATTTTTATTATTGCTATGGAAATTGACTTTATTGATTATTGATTAAAGGGTAGACTATTAACTTGAAAATAGTTTTAAAAAAATGTTCCTAAGATTTCATTGTAACAGTAGTAGGGTTTGACATGTAGCCATTTTAGGTGAGGAAAGAACACAGATGTATTAGAGATTAACACAAGGTCAAAGAGCCATTAGAAGTAGAATCAGGTGAGAATCACAGATCTGGAAAGTTTCCTTGAGGTCAATTCATGAAGACCCTTTATTTTATAGATGAGGAAAATGAAGACTGCAGATGCTAAGTGATGGCCAAGGTCATACAGCAAGTTAATAGCAGATCCAAAATTATGCTGGAGGTCTCATGACGTCTTCCCCAGGCCCTTTTTACCATAACCACTGATTATAACTGACTGGTTTATGAAATCTGCAGATCATGTTGCTCTTGAGATTTAATGCAGGATAAGATGCTTACTAGAATTCTAACTTTGAAAGGTCATCTATGACCTTCGGTAGAGGTCTTTGGTAGAGGTTTTACCCTGCACCACCCACCATTAGAGTCAAAATACGGGATTTGAATTAACTTCTTGAACCTGTTTGAACTTCGCATTTTTATTGACCATTTGATATGTGATGTTTTGCTATCTTTCAGATTGGCTAACATTTGTGGGGCTTGTCTTCAGGGAAATCCCTTTTCAAGTTATTGGGGGTTGCCTAAAAAGAGTAATCAGAAGTCACTATTTTACTGAAATGTGATTTAATATTTTTATATGAACATTTTTAGTTCAGATGATGGCCTGACTTAATGTTATCTGACTAGTTTGATAAATAATATTACATTGGGAGGTCAACAGGATGAAATTAATATTTTGCATGGACATGATTCTAGGAGACATAAGTCAATTATCAAGTGGTTTGCTTCAGCTGTGGTCTTACTTCCACAAGTCTCATTGTTAGTAGAAGTTAAGTATTTAACTTTTATAAACCCTCTTTACTTTTTTTACATTAGTTCATCTTTTATTGATATACTTGAGATGAACAATTTTAACTGGCTGAATTCCTATTTCAATTTTTTATACCTGTCATCAATGTCTTTATCTTTCCCCAATATTGAGGAGATTGGCTCAATTATATAACAGATATGTTTTATTTCTAACTTTTATGAACTAAAGTGCCAGAATGAAACCACAGTGATAGGAACTGGATAGATAATTAGCTGAATTTTGTAACATTGTATTCTTGCTTTTTGTTTTGGTTGGCATTTCTCCCTCCTCTATTCCTTTAAATTTATGATGTAAATACATATTCAAAAGGTCAAAATTGTTCAGGTTAACTTGGTAAAAAAGTTTATATTTTATACTTAAATGAATTTGTAAGAATAGTATTCCAAATAGAAATTTATAAGAAATCAAATATAAGTGGTCATGGAAACCTGTTCTGAAAAAAAATGAGATCAGGAAATAAAAGGAGAAATTATTCTGTTGATGCCATTGGGTGAAATTTACAAATAGCAAAAATCAAGGATGCGTAGATGTATTTGTGAAAATGTTTTGCATTGTATATTTCCCAATTTAATATCTAAGTTTAAGAGAAATGAAGGTTGTATGTGCTTTCTTCTGAAAACATTATATCGTAGGTAAGTGGACAGGTGCCAGGCCGAAATTCTTTGATTGAACTTCTGGATTTTTTAGAAGTGAAAAAAAAAATAAGATAAGGTCAACATACCAGAATCAAAATATTTTAAATAATTTGTTCCCAATATTAAGGAGCTGAAAGCAGTTATGTTTCTCCTCGCTCTTCCTCGGTCACTTGTTTATCTTTGGTTAGGTGATAGGGCATTTTGTTTTTCTTTTACCTTTAAAGAGCATAGAAAGAATAACTGCCATGGAACCACATTTAAGATGTTGGCTTTTTGGTCTTTGGGTCCAGATCATTTTATGTATGTTCTCCAGCCTTTATCATTATGTGCAGATCATCCTGAATCATCCATGGGCTATGATAGGGAATCAATCATTTGTTAGAAAATGAAAATACTCATTAGTAATTTTAAATTAGTTTATTTCCACAGAATTATTAAAATATACTCCTTGAAACTATTAAAATTTAAATTTCAATATATAGAATTGGATTCAGAATTGTACATATTTAATTTACTTTTTATGGATTATTTTTTCCTCTTCCTCAAACCACAGATAAAATAGGAAAGAAGTGATCTAAATAACTGTTTGCCAGATTTGAGTGTAACGCTTAAGTTAAAAAATTATAAAAAGGAATGGACTATTTGAGTCACATATTAAGATTAAAGAAAAAAGTATTAATATTTCTTTTGTAAGTATTGCTGAAGTTTAAAGTATTATTGGCCAAATATAGCTTGTTCATAAAAAATTATTGTCAATTATTAGAATTTTTAGAATATTTAATCAGTGAGTATTGGTTATGCAGTCACTCAACTATGTCAGTTATCAGAATACATGGAGAAGATATAGTCTTTTGCCCTCAATAATCTCACCACTCTATTTATAATAAAACATTTTCTAAAAACATTATCTATTAAATTAAGAAATGCAAAAAAAAATTCCAGGGATATTATAGATAAATTTTCTTCAAAAAAAAAAAATGGAAATATTGCCTGACACATTCAGGAAGACATTCTATTTAGAAATGGTGGTGTTAAGGTATTGTTAGTCTTTATTTTATGATGAAAGTGTTATCTTGGTTTTTCTGTTTTTACAATGATTTATAGGCTCTGTCTTTGTAATATTGTTGGACAATGTGATGAAGGCTGTACTTATACAAAACAACCAAATTATTTAGGGTCCTCATCTCCTTTCCATTTTAATTAAAAGTCATGGCCAACTATATGACAATACTAATCCAAACTTCAGACCCCTGAAAAAAGTGTGCTGTAATGTCTGGTGTTTTTGCATTTGCCCATATAAACATGTAAGTGTCCTTTGACTCTTTCCAGGCCGCTAACTGTAGAGCTCACAAAGTAATTAAGTTTATGCTTCTATTCTGAGTATTGGATAGGTTCAGAGAGTAACTAATTCAATACATCATTAAAACAGTCAAATAAGTTCTTCCTTCTTGAAATCATTATTGCACTATATGCTAACTAACCTGGATGTAAATTAAAAAAAAAAAGAATCAAGTAAGTTCAATGGAAAATTATATTTTCAGTTGTGTATTTGATCACAAACTAGGTGATTTAATTCACTGCTATTAGGCATGCCAAAGGTGAACGTAGTTGGAAAGATTAGGT